TTATTATTATTGTTGTTGTTGTTGTTGTTATTGCATTTATTTAGCGCATATCCACGTTCTACATTCTGAGAACACTTAAAAACATGATTCACGGCTTTCGGGGAAGCATACAGTGCAAGCTGAGGATTTCACGCGCTCAAACATGTTCAAATTGACAAGATCGTTCATAGTCTAGGCTGTAGCCGGGTAACCATTTCCACCTCGGTGAAGCGAGAAAAATTCATGCAAAGTGCCTTTCCAAAGCAAGGACACAACGTCGGGCCCCTGGCAGGATTCGAACCCACGACTTTACGGCTTTACGGTTGCGAGTCCGAGAGCCGAACGATAAGACAAATAGGCCTAGTGCTAAAACTGTGTTCAGTTTCAAACTTTTCAAACTTTGAACAATTAACAAAGCATTCAAGCCGAGACTGCTACAGAGAAAGCCGACGGTCCTCCTGTGCTACTGCAAGGGACGCCGCCCCCATTCCCCCTAAAGTGGACAGTTGGTTTGTTTCGCGGCTTTTGTTTCAGAACAATAAACGCCCCCTTTCTGTTTCCCCTCCTTCGATATACTTCCGGTTAAGTGGTCCTGATAGAGCTCGACTTGTTGCAGATTTTGCGTGTTTTAGGGACATTCTGGTTATGTTTGAAGGTATTTATGTAACTTTTTTTGTACCTTATATCTAGTTTTGTTGTTACTGCATTCATTCTCCTGCCGTATGAGTTATGATTTTCTGAAATAAGTGATGTCGGGCTGCCGGTCACAGCTGCACTACAATGTGCAAAGTGAGCCCACAACCACCAGCCCTGCCCTCGATCTGAATATTTCGTGTTTCCGTGCTTGGGTCAGTGTTTGGACGCCTGCTTATTTGTGCATACATTGGTATACAAAGTGAAGCATCAAATGCGTGTTCAAGTGAACGCTTCATATCTGATCAACTTCAATATATTGTTTTCTTAGTTTAGTTGCAGCATGGTTTGTTGCCCATTCATCATGCAAATGCCTTAATTTTCATAAGGCAAGGGGAAGGGAGGATTCATTGTTTTTATATTGTTTATGATACTTTGTAAAATGAAGACAAGTCTTGTTGCGTATACATGTGTAACTTCCTAAACGAGTTCTTTTTTATTGTGATTTGTGTGGTTCACAGTTTTTTGTTTTCTGGTATTTTATCCTAGTCGAAGTTTAAAAGAGTGAAGCTAATTTGAATTTGCTCCTTCTTGTTTTACTTTTCAAAGTGTCAAGGCCAAGGGCCACAGGAGAATAGCGCAGTTGTAGGCTTCTCTGACTTCTCACCCGCGGTGAGAGGGCGAACCTTTGGCTATTCTCACCGGTAGCGTCAATTGCAACCGAGTGACGCGGTGGCAATTGACAAAAATTGACTTTTTGTCAAATGCCACCGAGTGAAGCGGTGTCAAGTCTGAAAACAACACTATCTTTAGCATTATACATAATGTGTGTCTAATGGGTCAATTTGTTCTCAACTAATTTCATTGGACGAGCATCTAGTCTAGAGAGCTACGGTACCAACTTGGCGTGTTTTCAAAGAGACATAAGCCTAGATCTAGGCTAGTCTTAGCCTACACTTTGGTGTAGAACCAACACAGGCAATTCTAGAAGTAGAAGGTCACAAACGCACTCAAACTCAAGCAGAAATTCAAGTTATATCGGGGAACCTAAATCGGGGGACGGGGGTCAGGAAAAGACACACACACACACACACAAACACACACACACACACACACAAGCACACAGAGGGACAGAGAGGCGAACGCACAATACAACGAGCACTCGAGCACAATAAGCTAGATCTACCCACCAACGCAAAATGGCTCCAATTTAAACGGTGGCAATTGACAAAAAGTCAATTTTTGTCAATTGCCACTGCGTCACTCGGTGACAATTGACACTACCATTCTCACCCGGTGTGTGTTTACCATGATACCTTGTGTAAACCACAGATTTCTACACTTTTTTATTGAATTCTGTGGTGTAAACAAACGTTCCAACGCTCTTGTGTTGAAAGCATGCAATTTTGTCTGCGTCTGCAGGAATTGAAAGAAAGGGAGACAGAGAGAGAGAGCACGCAAGAAAGGGGGGGGAGAAAGAGAGAGAAGGAGTAGCCTAGATCTAGAGAACTTCTGGGCAAAACAAAATAACGACTGGCGTCGTTCGGCTCGATTCGAAAAGTGAAACAGCCGTAGCATCTTTGTAGTCCGCCAAATTAGTTTACTTTTGTGCAATAAAATCTTTTTTTTTCAATGTTTTTGTCAATTTGATCATCTACATTTGGCCTATACAGTATTAAAAAATTAAGAAAAACAGGTCTTGTTTCCCACCGGGTGAGAATAACCAACACTGGCAAGTCTCCCCCGGGATGAGAGGTCGATCGTATTTTTATTCTCACCCGAGGTGAGAATAGCCACTTTCATCAAATACTGTTTTGTAGATCTACTCTTTTTGTTTCTTTTGTCTAAGTTTACTATACTACTTAACTACTTACTACTACTACTACCAAGTTAGTCTCCACTTAAGTAAGTTTCCACCACTTACAATCTCGCTTTGCTTAAAATCCCGCTGTTTCAAGAAAACAGAATTTTTACTACGCAAAGGTCAACATTAAGATCACACACTGAAGGTCTACATTCAGCAAAGATCCCGTATTTCAGATCATAATTTACGGAACAAAAACCCAGGTGGTCTACCAAGAGTGAAAATTTGCGATCTTTGGACTGACCGTTACGTCATAGACTTTCCACTCTCGTGAATTTGATCGACATCCATGAAATGGTACAACAATATTTTCCCCAGGCGGGATCACACTGAGGTGTGGACTTGCTGATGTGTTTGTTTTCCAATCCTCAAGGCTGTCGTTATTCTCACCCCGGGTTGCATTTTATTCTCATCGGGTGAGAATAATTACATTGTTACTCTCACCCGGTCTGAGAATACAGTGGAGTTTATTCTCATCTGGGTGTTGAGAACAGGTCAGCCTAACCTAAATACATGTAATAGGATGATAGAAATTTGTGAAATAAGAGAGTGTAATGAAATGATCACAGGATACCCTTAACCACTTGACCACGAGGCGAACGAATTCGGCCGCTGTCGGCAGACCGCAATGCTTACTTAGTTGTCGAAGCCTGCAAAACCTGGTCAAATCGTTTGGAATTGCAAAATGGCCAGGCTTTGTGGGCTTCAACATCTATTTGTGTTGTTATTCTTTCATTTTCAATCAAAATTACCACAAAATGAGCAATTTAGAGGAGGATTTTGCTGAAACCAGTCAGGAGGAAATTGCAGATGAAGATTTCTACTATAATGTGATTTCTGTTGAATGTCTTTTGAACCGATGTAGGCCTAAGCCGCTGTGCACAAGACATTGAAGCTCTGTTAGGGATTGTAATGAAAGACTGAAAAAGGTTTGAGATACTTCACAGCTTTTTTTTTGTGAGTTAGATTTAGAATCTAGATAGATTTAAAACATGCTCCCAACATCCCATAATTTCTGTGATAGACTTTCAAAACCTAAACGAAATAAAGTGGGCGGAAACTAAAAACCCAGGTGAGAATAATAATATGTGGAGTATTCTCACTCTCACCCCAGGTGAGTATAATCACACTGTTTCCTCAAACATCACACTTGCACCGGCGCTCTCCACCTAAACTTACATCACAAGCTGGATGGATAGGGCCTATGAGTTTTCTTCAGGTGGGATCACATCGAACTGTGACCTCTTCCCTGCAGTTCTCTTCTCCCAAATTAGCGAGACAGACTGAATTTTAATTCGTGTGGTCACAACACTATGGTGTAAAACGACAAAGGTGGGGTAACTCTGTCAGAGATGGAAAGCCATAAATTTTGGACAGATGAGTAAAGGGAAGGTTCAAGTGGATAAGCGTAGAACTTGAGACTCATGATAGTGCCACATCATCCAGTGCCAGATCTGCAACAGACATCGGGCAATCATGGTTTTCCATTCATTCCTTTGCTCGGATGCTCTCAAAAAAGCTACGTTTCCCTGGTCTTTCCCTGTTACCCATTTGTTTAGGTTAAAAAGGGAAAACGGCATGCTTTATGCCACTGTGATTGGTTATCAAGGTTGACTACTCTTGCTCACCATAAAAGCCATAAACCCACCCAGGGGTCACGCCAATTCATATCAGAGTAAGGGGAGAACATTTTACCTGTTGTTGGCCTGAACATGAGCCACCATGGGTTCTTCCCTTTGTGCGTCGGCTAAGATCTAGTTCGCCTAACATCTTGCATTTTTCTTACTCCCAAGCACCAGGATCTTTGGCAGAGACTACTCTACCACTACTACTGCTGCTGCTACTACTACTACTACCACTAGTAGTAGTGGTTAAAGACAGCAAGCTCTGGGGTCAATAGGGTTAAAGTCACAGGAAAGTCATAAGCGTTCTGTATTTTATTAAGCTAAGATTTGACACTCAAATTTTACTGTCAGATTGGCTTCAAAATTATTGAAATTTGAGTCTTGATAATGTGAAATTTATTCCCTTCATCCTTCTACTTGTGGTCCTGTCCTCCCTCACTTAAAGAACACCTGTGTGAATAAGATAAGATGCTGGTCAGAGAGCTAAAATTAGACAATATTTCACCAAGTACATTCTATTCCACCTCGTTACCTAAAGGTCTCCGGCGTCTGTTGGGAGAACCAACTTTTATTCCTGAATGGGGAAAATACCGTATTGAATATCTCAGTCTTTCTGCTGGGGTATTGTGTATCCCTCTCACTCCGGTTAAATGATCTAATTTGGTTAATGCAGGTGGAAAACACCTCCATTAGAAACAAAAATTATCTAAAGGTCACCACCATGCATTCCATGTGATTTGATGTCAGCATATCTAGATAAGATACACCAGAGTGGCCCTGGTTCCAAACCCATGCTGGGTGTTCTTGAACTTGGGTCGCTTTGTGGAGTTTCCAAGACTCTCAACCCATTTAGCTCATTGGTATCTGTCTCCGATCTTAAATTCAGAATTCCCGCCATTTTAAATGACCTTTAGTGTTGATAAAGGTGTTAAATCCATACTCTTACATTCAAATGAAAATGTCCAATACCTATCCAGTATCTGACGAAAGAGTAGATCAGCTGCCTTTTTTACCCTTTGGTTCACAACATTTGGGCGTCTTTTTTTTTACAACTATAACCCTTAATTGTGCATACTTTCTCCCCATAAAAAGGGTAAACAGCTACGTAGATTAAATTAAGTTCAGAAAAAGTCAAATCATTATTCTCATGGTCTGGCCAACCTGTCGTGAGTTTTCAGAAAATGTCTGGTTAAAGGACGTTTGGATTGATGGCAAAATGTTTTCAAGGATTTTTTAGTCATAAAAGAAAAACTAAATTCCCTTACATCACAGAATTTTACCTTTGACATTAGTAGGGTTTTAACTTGGAGAATTCCTTTGATCAAGTCCTCTGAAAGCTGTGTGGAACCCCTCAATTTTACAAAGTAGAACTGTTTGTAAGGCACAATGTGGGTTTCCATCCACCACTACAGCTATTGTGACAGCGTCTAGCTGGATGAGAAGAAACATAATTTGTATTTGTCTTAGGACACAACTTAAGATAGGCAATAATTATTCTTCGAAATATGCCAGATCAGCTGTACTTCAGTAAAAGTCACACATTTGATAGGTACCTGACATACAAGAGAGTTGAGTTTGATTCTCATGTGTGGTGGTCAATTTTTCCTAAGACAGTCAAACCTACCATAAAGCCCACCACCTGTTC